TTTTTGCGATATTTGATATTTTTTAATAAAGAAGGTTAACGTTATCTTGAAATTTCGATCGGGAATCATGAATGTATCCCTTATAAAATGCATTTTTTTTTCAGTACCTTACTTTTTAGTCATGTTATGAATGATTAAAGATAAGAGTTATTTTGAATATGGTAACTCCGGCGGCGTCATATGTGTGTGCAGATTAATTTCTTAGAGTCACATTTTGATAACTGTACTTTAATACTTTTATACACAAAATTATGAGACTAATCCACTGATATAATGAAAATACATTGTTGCTTAAAAAAAAAAAATGCAATTGTAATATACAACTACTACTAAGAAATTAATCCGCACATATATGAAGCTGTATTCAAAACTCGCCATATTCAAAATAGCTCCTATCTTTAATCGTTCATAATATGGATGCTAAAAAGTAAAATATCAAAATAAAAAAAATGCATTTTATAGGGGATAAACAATACATTCATAAGAAGCAACTTTTTCTTCTGGCAAAATTGCGTTCAAATGCAAATGTTTTCTAATTGATATCGCTGAAGAAACGACTGAAAGTAAAATAAATAGATTAGAATTATTCACAACTGAATAATTATGATATTTAAATGTCATAGTCATATGCATAGTTTTTATAAACTCGTTAACAAAATAGTAAAATAATAACGTACATGCTCATATGCCGGGCCGCACAACATGCCGTGTGTATACTCCGCTCCTCCATGTGTAACGCGGAAAGCTTATTCATTAACTTACTCTTTAAAAAGTAGATACTGTTTCAACGCAATTTTGCCAGAGAAAAAAGTTGCTTCTTTTGGCACATACAATCATATATATACAATCCATGTCCTCGAATTTTGAAACCCTACACACACACACACACACACACACACACACACATACACACACGCGCGCGCGCGCGCGCACACATATTCAAAAAATCAGAATATACAAGGTGTATCAAAAGTATGGAAACGGTCAAATATCTTGAAAAGTACGTAATGAATAACTCAAAAAGTACGTAATGAAAAATAACTGCAGTGTTTTGAAAGTTCTTGACACGAACTATTAGATTCTGCTATCAAAAATAAGGTGTTCCATTAAAAAAAATCGATTTGATCTTAACCTGATTTTGACGACATCATCCAAGATCAAATAGATGTGATCAGTCAATAAATTTTTTTAAATCCTACAACTTTTGTCTGAAAAATTTTTCTCAAAAAATGCTTTATTTTCGAGATATTCGATCTTTTCCAGATTTTTAATACACTCTGTATACGCGAAAAAATCATCGCATCAAAAAATTAATAAATAATTATTTGCATAAAAAATTTTGGGTAAAAATTGACCAACTTTAATTATTAACTTTAACAACTAACGATAATTTTGCGAAAAATTATTGTAGGACGTTTTTTTTAAATTATAACTTGCAATCTCTTTACTTTAAGATGCTATGGCCAAATTTTAAGTTTGATACAGTTTGATAAGGTTTCCTCTATCATTGTAATAAAAACAT